GCCTCCAGGCCCTGCTCTGTCTGGTGGGCCTGGTAGGGATGGGGGAGGGCCCACCTAGCACCGGGCGCAGAACGCCTTGCCTGATACCACCCCAGCTCTGCTCAGTCATATCTGGAACCACACACCAGCCCCGCTTCTTTGCAAAAGCCAAGCACGGCCCAGGGAAGTGCACGAAGCAAGAGACGGAGAAACACCCCACCCCATCCAGGCCCTGCTCTGTCTGGTGGGCCTGGTAGGGATGGGGGAGGGCCCACCTAGCACCGGGCGCAGAACGCCTTGCCTGATACCACCCCAGCTCTGCTCAGTCATATCTGGAACCACACACCAGCCCCGCTTCTTTGCAAAAGCCAAGCACGGCCCAGGGAAGTGCACGAAGCAAGAGACGGAGAAACACCCCACCCCATCCTCTGCCCATCACCCCCCAAAACGCACACTCCTCCCTCCCCCGTCTCTTAGCCCTCACACACACCTGCAACCGGTGCCACCCTAGCTCTGTGCTTTGAGCAAACCCCCAGAGCAGGATCTTCCATACGCTGTGCATCTTTCAGCCCACCCCACAACCCTACAGGGAGCGCCAGCTGGAGACAGACCCAGAGAGCAGGGCTTGGAGCTGGACCGCAACAGGCGTAGGTTCACGGGTGGGTGTCTGGGCTGGGCTGGGGTGGGATCGTGCCGAAAGCAGCTCGCAGCCAAACGTCTTCACCTCATCCGAGTGGCACGGACCCTTGTTTGCCAAGTTTGGGATCAGTAATAAAAATAGCCAGGGACAAGTTCCGATCAGGGAACCAGGAGCCGAGCTGCGGGATGCTGAAGGTTTGGCCCAGCTCGGCAGGATGCTGAGGAAGAGGGGAGTTAACGTAAGAACGGCCACGCTGGGTCAGACCAACAGTCCATTTAGCTCATTATCCTGTCTGCCCACAGTGGCCAATGCCAGATGCCCCAGAGGGAGGGAACACAACAGGGAATCCTCACCCGATCCCTCTCTGGTCACCCATTTCCAGACAAACAGAGGCTAGGGACACCATTCCTACCCATCCTGGCTACTAGCCACTGATGGACCTAACCTCCAAGAATTAATCTAGCTCTTTTTTGAACCCTGTTTTAGTCCTGGCCTTCACACCCTCCCCTCAGGCAAGGAGTTCCACAGGTTGACAATGCGCTATGTGATGAACTTCCTTTTATTTGTTTTAAACCTGCTGCCTATTAGTTTCCTTTGGTGCCCTCTAGTTCTTATATTGTGGGAATAAGTAAATAACTTTTCCTTATTCACTTTTTCTACCTCAGCCATGATTTTATAGACCTCTACCCTATGCCCGCCTTAGTCTCCTCTTTTCTAAACTGAAAAGTCCAAGTCTTTTTAATCTCTCTTCATAAGGGACCTGTTCCAAATCCCTCATCATTTTTGTTGCCCTTTTCTGAACCTTAAGCAGCACTAGAGAGAGATTTTCTGGTGTGGGGATGCTGCTCCACAGAGCAGGAGCTGTGGAAGAGAAGGCTTCTGAACCAGCAGGAGCAAGATGGTGTGAAGGGCCCACGCAGGAGGCCGGCTCCAGACAAGGGGAGGAAACCAATGACCAGAGGGAGGACAGTCCCATGAAGTCTGCTGGACGGAGCCCACAGGAGGGGAAAAACCGCTGGGGAAGGTCCCAGTTCCCAGACACGGTGATTAGACTGTTAACAGAACCACACCACGGGAGCATTGGAGCAGCTGATCAGAAAGCCAGGGGAGGAGGGCTCCCCTCCCTGGGGAACGCCTGGCCCCTCTTTCCTGCAGGAGCTGCTCTCGGGCCAGGCTGCTCTACACCCACCCCTGAAGGGCTCTCGTGGCTGGAGGATCCCAGCACCCCCCAGCCATGCAACTAGCAGCTGTCACGGACGATTCCTCCCCTCCCGGGGGAGAGCCCAGGGCTGGCCGTTTGGAGGGGAGGGCGCAGTTACTGCAGAACAGCACGACTGTCTTTCAGAGAAGGCAGGTCAAAGGATCGGGTGTGGCAGCGGGAGGGGACGGCCGAGAAGTCAGGGACCGTCCTTGGGTCCTGTGGGCGGAGGTTCCACAGTCTCCCGCCCACCCCGCCTCCCACACAGCTGAGCTCTACCCCCAGAAGTCCCCTGGCTGCCGAATGGTTAAACCCAAGCACATGGGAAACACCTGCCAAAGGGATAAATACCACAAGCACATCTGCTGCCGTTTGGGCCCAGAGACAGCAGAGTGTGTGTGCATGTGGGGGAGCAGGGGTCTGTTTGGCTCCCTCCTCCCCTTTGCCCACAGGGCATCTGTTGGCCCCAAATTAGCTGGGGAGGGCCAGCAACAGGTGGCTGTGACGGTGCAAGGCGGGCCGGGACTCAGCAGCCCACAGGCCCCCTCTGCCGATGCACCACTTGTAGGGAGGCAGGATGTTGGGGGCAGGCTGGTGCTTCACTCATTAACTGGTCAAGCGTGCCCCCCGGCTATGCTGAGCACGAGCGTGCAGGGCACCGAGCTGCTTTCTGAGTGGCAGGGAATGGGAGAGGAGGCGGATTTGCAGGCCCTGCTGTGCCACATATGGGGCAGGGCTGGGAGCAGAGTGCCTCTCGTTCAGTGGGGGTGGGGAGACACCCTCCATGCCACCCCTTGTGCTGGGGGGCCAGAGCCATCCCCCGCCCTGCCCAGGCCGAGCGGGCGGTAATGGAGGGATGCGCGAGGCCCCGGCGGTTGTGGAGATGGCAGGAAAGGACAAAGGGGAGCCCAGGGTGGGTCTCATGCCAGGTGTTGGCCTGGCCCAGTCTCTCCCCCCCTCAACTGGGGCAGATTAGCCACAAAACGGCTGGCCAGCCCAGCCACAGGGCCAAGTTCATCCTCCTGCAGAGCCCATGGGGGAGTGGGTGGAGCAGCTAGGCTGGGGCTGCAGGACAGGGCTCAGGCACCAGCAGCAGGGTGGACACTGGAGGGGTCAAACATGACGGGGGAAGCTGAGAAAAGCCAAGAGCCCCACTGAGGGACTCCAGCCTCCCTGCAGCCCCTGGACCCTACTGCTCAGCAGCTTGACTTCCCAGCCACGGGAATCTGGGGGGGCACGAGAGGACACCTCTCCCCAGCCGTGTATTTCAGCTGAGGGGCAATTAATAACAAATAATAATCCCTGGCTCTTCTGTAGCTCTCCAAGCACTTGCAGGGCAGCATCACGGGCCCCATTTTACTGATGGGTAAACTGAGGCAAGGGATGGCAATGTGACTTGCCCAAGGTTCCCCAGCA